AGGGTAAGGCCTAGGAAAAAAAAAATACTTTAAATTTTTTTTTGAAAATCTGGATATTGGCTGGCAAAAGGGCAGTTCACATGTCACAGACTGCTGATCTCATGTGATCCGCTGCTTAATTCTTCGACTACTTTTGTTTTGTCTTCTTCCCCCAGCACAGACGACCTTGTCCCACGCGCGTTAAATCATGAAAGCGCACGTCTTGTATTGTAACCCAGTGAAAGTAGCACACGTGGATGTTTGTTGTTCGATGACGAATTTATGATTGTGTTTTCCGTCACGCGCTTTAGATGCACGTAAAATTCAGTACCTTACAAAACAAAATATCTCAGCAAATCTAGTCGAATTTACCGGAATATCCTTCTATATAAGTTGACTATTTTGCCCTTGTATCTTCGTTGGGTCCAATGGCTTCAATCCTTTGGAATGACTTTTGTATCCCCTATTACGGGTTAGGTAAGGTTATGTTTGGGAGTATGGTTACAACATTTTTTCACCAAGTATCTTATTAAAAATATTAATTTATTGTACTTAATTTTATTAATTTTTTATATTACTAATATATGACAATTTTTTTAATTAATTATTAAATAATAATACAATTTTAATATTAATAAAATACTTAAAAAATTACAATTATAGCATCTCAAATGTATCATTAACCGTTATAATTATGAAAAGCACATGCACCTCTAGTTGTGCGGGTAAAAGTATGCTATATTCTTTATTATTAACTGTTTTTTTTTTTAACAAATTTATAAAAAGGTAGATTCGAATCATTGTTTTGGGAGAGAGAAAATACACTTTAAACATAACTAAACGCACTGAACCAAGTGCTATTATTTATGATTGAGGTTTAAAGTTTTATTTAATAATATTTTTTATAACTCTTTTTTTATATAGTATCTTATTAAAAATACAAATTTATTACACAGATATAAGAAATATTTTCAAACATTGCAACTAGACTAAGAGGGATTGTCAATGGGGCTATGGTAAAAACCAAAATCTTTATTTAATTTGGTTGTTTGGAAACAACTTGTAATCAATGATAGATGTCTAATAATTGATATCTATTATTTATAAATTAAATACCATAAATTATTATTATTTTTATTTATTTTTAGTAATTATAATTTAATTTATTGTAAATCATGTTATTAGTTGACCTAACTTTTTTAAAAAAAAAATAAAAAGGCTTAAGCTCGGTCGATGTCATTTTTTGCCTTCTTCACCTGCCTCGCTACTAACTCTACCAATTCCATCACTTCATTGCAAATTGGCTTTGAATCCAATGGAAGATTGTCCAGGGTTGTTGCAATTGTTCGTACTAGAGTCCAAAATTGACTCACCACGAGCTTCAATTTTATCAGAACCCACAGTCTACCTTTTTCCATTGAGCCAGAAAGACAAGTCGGTGGAGCCATTCAATGATTCTTTCACCAATGTCTTCTCCATTGTTCTCCTTTACAATTCCTTTTCCTCATCTTGTTGATTACTAAATTTTTAATCTTTTTTCACTGAGCAAGTGAGAAGGATCTGAAATTAGGAACGATTAAATCCTTTATACTTTCGCTTTTTTTAAAGAGAAGTCAGGTAAGCTAATAACGTTGCAAGTCACATCGTTCGACCCTTGATTATCGATCCAAATACTATTACTGTTTTAATAATAATAAAATATTTTAAAATTATAATCATAATATTTTATAATAATCTCAATACAATTTTAATGATCATAATTACAAAAAGCACTTGCAGCTCCTTTTTTACATGAACAAGAGTGCACTAAGATCTGGGCCATAATCAAGGTTTTAAGATTCGTTTTGACAATAATTTTTATAAAATTTTCACATAATATTTTATTTAAAAATAAAAACTAAATCATGTTAAAAAAAAAATAAAAACTAAATATTTAAATATAGATAATACTTTCAAACATTACAACTAGACTAGAAGTAATGCTCAATGGAGATATGATAAAAACTAAAGACTTTATTTGATTTAATTACTTCAAACAACTTATTATAAATAGTGAATATTTAATAATTGATATTTTTTATCATTTATATTTTAAACACTATTAATTATAAAATATTATCTATTAAGTTATTTGAAATATTAAAATAAAATAATTTTATTTTACTATTTAGATTAAATTAAATTATAGAATATACATTATTAAATAAAAAATTTTTAATACCATAATATTTAATTTTAAATTAATAATTAATATTATATAATTAAATATAATATATACTCAACAAAAATTTTCCCTTAAAAGAGACGGAGCAAAAAAATTTTGTCGG